CCAGCCACAGTCGGAGGCATATCGGGTTCGCTTTCCACCGCCTCCTCGTCCGTATCCGGCTTGTGGTCGTCGGGTGGCAAGTCTACCCCCCTTCCCTTCGGCGCTTCCGCGACAGCCGCCAACACTGGGGTCACGGCGCGTCGCGTCCCGACTTGTCTCGGCTCCGGGTGCAAGATGGCTTTAGGCGTCGGGTATGAGGGGCGATCCGTCATCGGTCCGTCGAGCTCGGCTGGGATCCAGTTCTCCTCCGCGTCGCGCGTCGCGCCGTACGCCGGATTCTGCCACTGCTGGTACCGGGTGGAGCCCAGTCGGACGAATCCACGGTTCCGAGGCTGGCCGTCAGACGGCGTCCACCACCCAAGCGTTTCATGCGCGTCGAGGGTTATCGCTGCGTCTCCGATGTTCGTGACACGCAGGTACGTTTTCTTTCCGACTCTCCCCTTGACAAAGGTAGTCACCCACGACTCTGCCCGTGTCACCCACAAGGAACGGCGCGTTTCGATCCGGCCTCAGCAAGACTTCATGCGTGTCTCCTGGTTCGAGCCTCACAGGCGTCTTGACGTTGACCGAGTGCATCCGTGCGCCGTATAGCGGTCTTCGTCCGATCATCTGGATATGCACCTCGTCGGGGAGGCACGCCGTGCCGTCCGCAGTGTCGATGCGCACTCCAGCGGGCACCATGAAGTTCATTCCCAGGATTGCGTGTTGGCTGACCAAGTCGCCGACCCACAGGTGCATGTAGTACACCAAGTTCCCAGCCAAGGTAATATTGACTCTGGTTCTCCCCACCGTGTAATATGTCTCATCACGAATTCCCACACACTCTTGCGTGATCTCCGTGTCAATCAGGCAGCCTACCTCACGAGCAAAGGTGGTGTCCAGCATGGACACCTCGGCACCTGTGTCGAGCAATAACACAGCACGGCGGCTGTTCAGCTTTCCATGAATCTTGGCCTGCTTGTACCACTTGTGCGGCGCGTAATGTTTCCAGTATCCGCGTCGCTCTCCTGGTTGCAAGTCGATCTCGTCCAGGGGTGGTTCACGTGCAAACTCGTCGTACGTCGTACGTCGGACCGCCGAGATTCGCGGCGCGCGTTCTTGCGTGGTACGTTCCGGGTTGGATTCACATGTATTATCATTCAGGGAACTCGGGCTCTCACTAACCACCTCTCGCGACTTCTTGGTCACATATGCATAGACGGAAACAGGTCGCTCGTCTCGTACTGGTTTCCAAGCCAGCGAGCGTCCTAGTTTAACATCTTCTCGGCGGCTGGCGGCAGCATTCCCGCGTGTTTATTCGGGTCAAACCACTGGCGCAATTGGTTGAAGAACTCCTCCATCGGGCATTCTCCGGCTTCGTGCACGTCACCGCAGGCCTTGCACACCCTCAAGCATCGCTCCGTCGGGTGCTGGCCACCACACTTCTGACACGTCAACAACTTCCAGCAGTCTCCTTCGACATGGCGACGTGAACAAGAGTGGCGGAACCGCGGGCAGTCGCGTCCCGAGTCGTCGGGATCGAAGTTGCGACGCGCCGGCTCTGCCGGCGGGGCCTGTCCCGCGACAAACAACTTGGCGCGTTCTTCGTCCGCCTCGTCTTGGTCGTACTGGCGATCGTCGCTGTCGCGACTTTCGCGTTCCGAGTCGTACTCGTCCGACGCGACGTGAATCGCATGCACGGCGCGCGCCGGCTGAGTCGGCGGGGTCGGCGCCTTTTGGCGAAACTTGTTCGAGCCGAAGAGAGTCTTTTTCTGGTGAGCCAATCCACGTTGTCGGGCACGCAGCTTCTTCTCCAGCGCCTCGGAGTCGGCGACCTCCATCAGCGTGAGACGCGAGGCGAGTTCAGCCTCCTGCGTGTTCAGCGTCCGGATGAAATGCTCGACGTTTTCGCGCTTCTCTTCAGTCGTACCCTCGGCGTATCGGATGTTGGCCCTCAAGCCCGCGACGTTGAGCCGGTACAAATAATCCAGAGGGGTCTCGTCGGGGCGCGGAGCCGCATGGTAGTAGCGGCTGGCCATTGACACGCCCTTGCCGCAGTACTGCACACGGAATTGCTCCATCAGCTCGGTCCATGATTTCTTGACCTTCCTGGGCAACAGGAGATACCATTGGCGCGCAGGGCCGCTCATTAGATCGCTGAACTGCCCGCACACTTCTTCGCCCGTCATCCCGTCGCGCCGTGCGGCGGCCTTCAGACGGTTGAGCCACAGTCGGGCTTTCTCTTCGCTGGCGTCCCGTCCCAAGAACTCTTTCAGCTCGGAAGATCCTGACAGGCGTACGCGGGCGACGGCGACGCCGCCGGCGTCGCCGTCGAGACGGCGGCCGCGGTTCTTGGCACTCCGATGTCCAAGTCGAACAGGTCATCGGGGTCCTCGTCCGCGTCGCGTCGAGTTCTGGACCTCGTCGAAGAACGCGAACTGACCGACTCCATGGCGACATCCGCTGCCTCCTGGGGGCGAGCCACCGTGAGTGTGGGACTCGCGGGCGGCTTCGGCCCCGTCGGAATTGCGGCTGTGTCGGCGCGCGGGGCGCTCATCACTGTCGTCTGCATCAACTTGATGATGGATTCTCTCAAGGCCTTGGGAAGCACCTCCTCGGCGGGTTTCGTCACCTCCGTGCGTGCGGGCGCCGCGGATAGCTGCATGACGCGCGGCGGCCGGTTCATGGGCATGCGCTTGGGCGACTCGAAACTGCTGTCGGAGTCCACGCTCGATTGGTATCGAGGTGGAGGCGAGGGCGTGGTGGGCTGGGCCCGCCGAGGGACTCGGCGCGTCTTGGCCCGTCGCGGAACTCGTCGCGTCTTGTTTGACGGATCCGGCGAGAATCGTCAAGGGCTCCTGCACGACGCGAATCGCACGTAACCAAGATTTGAGGTCCCAATCGCACAGCCTCTCCATCTCGAAAGCCCCCAGCACGAACCCCGAGTCACGCAGCATCTGGAAGAGAGTCGGCGCGGCGTGGGCAACGCTGGTGAGACTATCGAAGTCCGGCGCCACGAAGGAGCCTGTGAAGTTGCTCATCAGCATGGGCTTGAGGAAGACCAAGATTGGGTCTTGTTCTAGCAGACGGAAGAGCTCCGTGCGCGCCACGACGTACCGTACCTCCTCGACGGTGTACTGACGTCCCGTGTCCTTGCCTTGCGGCTTGGACAGCGACTCCTCCGCCGAGTCCGGCGCGCGCAGCTTCTTCTTCTTCCTCTTGGGCGACTTGCGCTTCGTGGCAGCCTTGGCGGTGGGTTGTTGTTGGTCGTCGGCCTTTGCAGGCTTCCGACCTGTAGGACCGCGACTTGCGTCGCGGCCCTTCGCGGCTCCCTCGTCGGGAGCCGCATCGGGAACGGCAAACTGTTCTTCGTAGCCCTCCTGGTCGTCGCTGGCCCCGTGGCCTGTCGTGAAGGTTCCCTCAGAGCTCCACGACGCGACAGGTCTCTCACTGTGCTCTCTTGCGGTCGGGGACCTTCCAGCCGACTGCGCAGCTGCCTCCGATACCTCTTGGATCGTTAGCCCGTCATTCGAAGTAGTACTCCCGGGTCGCGGCACCATTGTGGAGTAGCGCCCTCGCAGAAATCTCGCGAATGCGATCTCGCACAAACTCGGCGCGTCTGGATAGCGGTCGCGCCGAGCGAATTATTCCCGGTTGTTGGAGTAGCGTATCTTCGAAATACAGGCTCAAGTCTTCGCAGGCTTCGGAGTTGGGGGGGGGGGGGGTTCTTGTGTTGACGTTTGTTCCTTGTCGTAGGGCGTCGAGCCTTGGGCGTGCGGCGTTATCGGGCCGGCGTTTCCTGGGGCTTGTGTGGCGTTATCGGGCCTACACGGGGGGTCTTGTGCACGGCGGTTATCAGGCCAGTGCGGTCCTTCGCCTAGGCAGCGCGTTATCGGGCGCCCACCTAAACGGTATACGTTTAACGTGACTTTGTTCCAGCACGGGTCTGTGGGGGGGGGGGGGGGGGGGTGAGCACCCGAACCAGCAAACGACGGGGGGCCGCGATATCGAGGCGGCTCTACTTGCCGGCGCTTGGTGGTTCCCCTGGAACCTCGGAGAAGACGGGAGGTCTTTGTGGTTCAGAGACATTTCGGGACTGAGTCCTTACCCTATCCTATGTCCTTGCTACTGGCTACTCTGTACTACTGCTTGCTAAGCCTACCGCTCTGGGCCTATCCCTACTTCTGTCGTGCTTGCACTGCCGTCCTTCAACCTGGTTTGCGTGGCGCAATCAAGATCTTACCTCGGCGCGTTTTGGTCGGCGGGGGTTAGGGTCGGGGCGTTTTGCTCGGCGCGTCTTGCTCGGCGCGTTTTGCTCGGCGGGGTTTAGGGTCGGCGCGTTTTGCAGAACCGGGTGCGCTGGTCGACCCGTCGGATGGTTACGCGTCGCACTGGATTCTGGCACCGTGTCTCACGGCCCATCACCCACGCCGACTTTCCCGTCGAGCTCGGCCCTGCGTCGCGCCCATCAATCCGCGTCGCGTTCCATCAGCCGCGTCGAAGTCCATCACTCGCGTCCCGGCGCCTTCTTCCTCCGGCGCCCGGCGCGCCCACTTCTTCCGCGGGGTACTACACCACACTCTTCAACATCAATTTGCACCGCAGCGCGGCAGTTGGCGCATCTTGGGTCATGCTGAAGACTTTTCAGCACGCAGTGTCGGTGGATAGGCTGGCGGCAAACTTCACACACCCAGATGGCCTTCTCACCATCCCCCCCGTATCTTGGCCGCGAAGGGGGCATATACATATCAGGCAATCAGTCACACCATCACGCGGGTGCACAGTGTTTGCCACAAGGTCGTTACCACTGCACTCTTGCCCAACCGCAGCTGTCAAGGTCGACAATTCCAATTCGACAGCCAAAACTGGTGAGGCATTGGTTGCCAGCTCCTTGAACTCGAAATTGGCCCAGTCGAGTAGGCTCTCCATGGTCTCGTCTTGGTCATCCACAGATGGAGAAGCGTTTACGCTGTCAGGGGGTTCAATAGAGTAATCACGACCTTCTACATCATCGTCGCTCTCTAGCAGCAGCTGGTCGAGATGCGCAGATTCGTCCGCTTGCACATCAGTTGAGACGTGATCCACACGGCGCGAACCTTGATTACGCCGGCGGCGGCGCCATGCGGCGTCCCGCTCTCGCCGTGCATGCGCCACGCGGTCGAGATGCTCGACGAGCTCCGTGGGCGTTCGGCACCGTTTGGATGCCTGGTGCCAAGGTGGTGGGGGTTGCCCTTTATCCACTGCCAGCACCTCTGGCAGAGCTCGCGAGGCAAGCTTGGGAGACCTCGGTAACGCTTAAGCAGGTGGCGCTGCAGATTGTCGGAGCGACCAAAGTCGTGCAGACAGGTTTCACAGGTTGTAGCCATTCTAATATCGAAAAGATAAGATCAATTAAAAATAACGTCGATCAAATTGTGATGGAATAAATTTCATGGGACCAAACCTACGTTGTCGCACGTGCGCTGTGAGCTTGTCACACCAGTAGAGCAGAGGGCTTCGCGGTTGTTTTGATAATGAGTGCCATAGTTGACAGTTGAGCCGCAGGCGCCGGATGCCGCTCGTGCGATATGTATCCATTACAGGCCGAAAAATGACTTTACCCTTACCCTAAATCAGAATCTACAGGATACTGGGTGTGGAACAGGTTCTGATTCGGCGTCATCAAATATACCTAGCCCTACTCAAAATCGCACAGCTCCAACGAAGTCCTACTTCTCAGTGGTGGAGACGATGCAGAACTACGTCCAAGAGCTTCACGGCATGGGCAACAATCGCAACGCCACGCAGACTGCGGAAATGCTGCTCTACTTCCGGACCATGGAGGACTTCGTGAACATCGACCAAGAGAGGGCGGCGACGGCTGCGCAGCACCAGCGCCTTGACGCGTACTTCCAGGGCCTCCAGATGTAGTTGCTACAAGTTGCAGGACCATCACTCTTTTTCTTTGATTTGCCAAACGCTAACCAGTCAATAACACGTATCTTTGTTCTCGTTTGCATCTCTTTGACTCGACACACGTCGTCCAGGGTTCTGGAAAACCCAGGTTTTTCGAGATGGTGGGGTGGGCAGAAAAATATTGTGGGTGGGTGGGATTTGGACAAAATACTTACCTAGCCCTATATACCATTTCTATAACACGTAAACCAGTAATATCTGAAAACAAATAACCACAACTCGACCCGAGCGGTCCGGGGTGGGTGGGTGGTATGAATAAAATATCCACAGCCCCCAAAACCCCACTCGGAACCCTGACGTCGTCTCGCTTTAATTAAGCACCAGCATGCTGGTCCGCGGCCGCAGCAGCAAGAAGACGGGGGACGTGGAGAGCGGCGCGTCCAGCCCCAGCGCAGCCAGCACCTTCGATGCGGACGCAGAGGACGCCTACTCCGTGGCCTCCACGGCCGCGGAAGAAGGGGACAAGAGCAACAAGAAGAAGAAGTCGGCGCTCTCCAGCGCGCAGGCCGTGGTCCACTGGTGGCAGTCGATGCGCCTGCAGTTCGGCGACGGCCTCTTGCTGCAGATCTTCTTCGTCTACTTCACGCAGGGTATCCGCAGCACGCTCTGCTCGCTGGGCACCAGCTACTACCTGAACGAGACGCTGGCCCTGGCCCCGGCGCAGTCCGAGTCGCTGCGCGCCACGGCAGCCATCCCGTGGATCATTAAGCCGCTGTACGGGATGCTGTCGGACAGCGTCCCCATCTGGGGGGCGCGGCGCAAGTCCTACCTGCTCATCTTCAGCGCCATCTCGGCCGCCGCCTACTTCGCGCTCTCCACGCCCGGATTCATCACGACCTACGAGAGCGCGCTCGTGGCGCTCGTGGTCGCGAGTCTCGGCATCGCCTTCTGCGACGTCGTCATCGACGGAAAAGTGGTGGAGGCGGCGCGAAGCGAGCGCGAGGACATGGCTGGCAACCTGCAGACGCTGTCGTGGATCTCCCTCTCGGTCGGCTCCGTGCTGGGCTCGATGGTGTCCGGGTACGCCCTCAACACATTCGGCCCGCTGGGCGTCTTCTTCCTCTCGGCAGTGGGCCCCCTGTGCGTCGTGCTGATCTCCACCAAGATCCCGGAGGAGACGTACGTGCCCCAAGGAGACCTCGGGTTCTTCCAGACGGTGCAGGACCAGTGCCGAGCGCTGGCGACCGTGGTGGTGGACCCCATCTGCTGGCGCCCCATGCTGTGGATCTTCCTGTCCAACGCGCTGCCTCCCAGTGTGGGCGAGGCCATGTTCAGCTTCAAGACTGCTGAGCTTGGCTTCTCCAAGTCCTTCCTGGGCTTCATCTCCACAGTCGGCAGCTTCACGCTGCTGGGCACCACCGCGCTCTACAACGCCTACTTCCGCGACATGCCCTTCCGCCGCATGTTCTTCCGCATCCAGCTGGCATCGGCGTGTGTGTCCTTCGCTGAGTTCGTGCTGGTCTCGCGCCTGAATGTGGCTTTCGGCATCGGCGACCGGTTCTTTATCTTCGGGGACGAGATCCTCTCGGACGTGGTCGCCCGCCTCAAGCATATGCCGTCGCTCGTGCTCTGCGCCAAGATCTGTCCGCCGGGCATCGAGGGCACCATGTTCGCACTGCTCATGTCCATCTACAATTTCTCCTGGTCGGTGGCCTCCTACGGCGGCTCGTGGCTGTGCAGCTACCTCCAGATCTCCAAGACCAACTTCGCGGGCCTCGCTGTGGCCGTCACCATCCGCAGTGTGGCCAAGCTCGTGCCGCTGTTCCTGCTCTTTATGGTGCCTGCAACCACCAGCATCAGCAGCTCGTCGCTCGCGTCCAAGTCGAAGGCGAAGGCGACCAGGAAACAGAGCGAGAGTGGCAGCGATAGTGACGGCGCCGCCATCGACCTCAAGGTGCAGGCTTGAGCTTCAGCAGCTAGAATCATGTATGTAGGTGTAAAACTCAATGCAGCGTTGCGGCCCCTGTTTGGCCGTTTACCTTATTGAACGGCTGCTGTATCTCTATTCACTACAGAAGCTGGCTGTTCGTAGTCGAAGAGTAATCTTCTCTCACAAACCTGGCAACCTGCAAAACAGAGATTTCTGAAGCAAACGATAGCAGCAATTCTGTAAGCTCCGTTCTTGCCTCACTACATCCAAACCGGTCAGCTATCGTTGAGGCGCAAGCATTGATCCAAAGCCCGAGCGTTATGGGGCTGGAGGCAACAATACTCAAACTTTTCAGTGTTTGTATTTGTGCCAGTCAGATCATGTCGGCATTTTTGGGGGCGATCTGCTGGCCTCCATTGTTGATCTAATGGTGCTAGTTACTGACTGTAGCTGTGGGCTGAAATGGCATCGCTAGTTGTGGACGCGACAAATTAGAAGCTGGCAGGGATATCGCTATACTTTTTTGTTATGTGCAATCTCCAGAAGAAATCAACACCTTCTGAAAACGGTTCCATTACAATGGTCTTAGTATATACTTCAAAGTATCTGTTTGTCGTCATCATACGGTGATGAATGAGCTATAGGGAAACCGTGGTAAGAGGTCCTCTATTTACTGGGAAAATCTAGTTATCTAGAAAATACAGTCCTGATATCGTTGTAGGATGTACCCAATCAAAAACGATCATCCGGTGGTTCTCCAACCGGGTTTCAAAATGCAGTGTGGCGATACGAAGGATACGAAGGTGACCTGTGTGGCTGGATTGGCAAGCAATGGACCTCGTGTCTCAGCGTGTGGGTAAACCTAGTCGATTGCACGAGATATGTAGTTATAAGTCATGCTTTCAGTTAAACATCAAGCTTTCATCTCTATCTTGTAGATACATTTTCACAGTCAAAATACTAGTATATCAGTAATATATCATGTCTCCAAAAGTATCTTTGTATGTTTGACTGGCGAAAAAAGGCAACTTTTTTTTTCGCCAGTCCAGTCTCATTCCACAACTTCCTCCCTCGAGCACACCACCTCTCAAGCCAAGCTACACGCTCTACCCTACCAGCCTCCCCATGCTGAACCTGTACCCGCCCGCCAACCACGCCGTGTACAACGGTGCCAGCCTCAACTTCGCGCCCGAGATCGACCACGCGTGCCAGGCCATCCACGACGCGTGCAAGGGCCTCGGCACGGACGAGGAGGGGCTCATCGCCGCGCTGGGCACCAAGTCGTCGGACCAGCGCTACCTCATCTCGGTGCGCTACAAGGAGCTCTTCGGCAAGGACCTCAAGAAGGTGCTCAAGTCCGAGACGTCGGGCGACTTCGGCCACCTGCTGCAGCTCATCTCGCGGCCGCTGCCCGAGGCGGAGGCGGCCATCCTCCGCAAGGCGACCAAGGGCTTCGGCACCAAGGAGAAGCTCATCTACCCCATCGTCATGGGCAGGACCAACGTGGAGATCAACATCCTCAAGAAGACGTTCTACGACAAGTACGGCAAGGACCTGGGCTCCGTCATGGACAGCGAGCTCAGCGGCGACCTGAAGAAGGCCGTGCTGGCCTCGCTGCAGGCGCCCCTGGAGCAGTTCAGCCCGGAGTTCCACACGTTGCAGAAAGCGGAGGAAGACGCCGATGCACTCTACGAGGCTGGCGAGGGCCGCATGGGCACCGAGGAGCGCGACTTCATCAACATCCTGGTCACCAGTCCGCCGCAACACCTGCGCGCTATCAACGCTGCCTACGTCAACAAGCACCAGCACGACATCGCCCACGCCGTCAAGAAGGAGTTCAGCGGGGATTCCGAGGACGCGCTGCTGTTCCTGGTGCGCATGGTGCTGGACCCGCTCGTGCTGCTCTCAGAGCTGTTCGAGAGCACGATGAAGGGCTTTGGTACGGACGAGAACGGGCTGAGTGCGGCGCTCGTGCGCTACCACCTCGTGCAGCGCGACATCCGACCCGTGTTCAAGAAGACGTACGGCAAGGAGCTGCGAGATCGCATTCAAGGCGAAGTGAGCGGCGACTACGGCAAACTCGTGCTGGCTGTCTTCGACTCCCCGACGCACTGAACACGTAATGTAACTAGCTAGCCCCCCTCGCTCGCTTGAACCCCTCAAATTAACACCTCCATTGCTCCATTGGCATTTTGTTTGCCTCTGTTAGTGGGCTCGGTACTCCCAACAAGGTCACTTGCGGCTCGATTCTCTTCAATCGAGACCAATAAATCAATCTTCTCAAGCCACCATGCTCCATCGGAGCACAAGTAGGAAGCCACTTAGTTGTGGTGACGCCCCACAGCCGAACTCTGCTGCTTCTCGTCCTGCTCCTTATCGGACGAGGGCCAGGACGCTGGGAACACAGCCGAGAAAAACGCGTCCTCGATAATCCCGATGCACACCATTAGCACGACGTAACTGAACAGGATCATGTAGCTGTAGACGTAGATCTGCCCAATCCATGGCGTGTACGCGACGTCGTTGAACGTGTCGTGGATCTCGTCGCCGTTCGCGACAGAAAACAGCGTGGTGGCTGTGGCGCTCGCGCTCTGGAAGCGAGGCACCTTGGCGCCAAACATGACGGTTCCGAACAGCACAAAACCCACAAAGATTGGCAAAACACCGACCAGGAACTGCATCACACGTGGCAACCCGCGCCGCAAGGTCAGGCCGAGAATGTGGAACCGCGTATTCACTTGCAGATACCGCACGAGGCTACCCCACTGCAGCGCGCAACATGACGCGAAGGTAAAGCACAGTGTGTCGTCCAGCGAAAGCCTGTAGGCATGGCGCCACGTCGCTAGCAGGCACATCACGGTCATGAAATTAACTGCCAGGACGAACCAGAACCAGAAGTCTTTGGCAGCCCCATTGCGCCAAGCGAGTGCAAGTGGCTGTCCATCAACGTCACGCGCGTGACCGAGTGACTGTCGAGCAGCTAGCGACTTCACAGCTGCCCATTTCAGCGAAAACTCGACTGTCTGTGAATGAATAGGCACAACAAGAAGAGTCAGCCATGCTCTGACACAGCGCTACAAAGCACGACTCACCTGATACAAACAAATCACCATGAGTGTGACCCAGTTAAATAGCACGCTGGTGTCCACCAGCACAGGCGGCATATCCTCCTCCTCCCCTCCTCCTCCGCGCCCACCCTCAAGCAGCGGCACATGAACGAGGTCATAATTCATCGTCACCTCCAAGTGACCTTGATTCAGCAGGTCGTAGCGCATCACCACCGTCCACTCGTACAGCTTCTCGGTGCCAGCGTCTTCCCCTCCACTCACTGTACCCGAGGGGCGCTCCTTCCTCTTCATGCCCACCACTAACTTGAGCTCCATAGCGTCCAGCTCCTCGAAAAACTCTCGCGTTTCCTGCTGTCGCGCAGCCGAATCGCCCGTCCGCAGCGGCGCCGGCCACTGGTCGCTCGAAGAGGTGTTCGTGATGTTGTACAGCTTGTCCAGAGTCTCCTCTCCGACGTCGGCGCGCACAGTCAGCAGCGGAGGCGGCAGCAGCGCCCACTGCGACTCCGATTCGTTGCCGAACACCAGGTACGAGTCCAGCGCCACGCTCGCCAGTCGGAAGTAGTTGGCCACAGCGCCGTGCAGGTGCTCGCGGGTCTCCTCGATGGTGAAAAGCGCCCCGACAGGCATCGCCGACGCTCGCGCCGCGAAGCCCCCGCTGAAGAACTCGTCGTCCACATTGGCAGCGATCTCCTCCTCCACCTCGAGCAGGAAGTGCGGCAGCGTGACGACCCTCGCCTCGCCCGAAATCTTTCTGGGCGCGTCCACGTAGAAGAGGAGCCGCACCCAGTCGTTGGCGATGGCGCGCTGGAACGGGTGCAGCGCAGAGCCGAGCTGCGAGCTGCGAGCGCTAAGCAACAGCGCCGCGACCACGTGGAGCAACAGCCGCAGCACCGCCGTCCACCCCAGCTGATGCATCTCGATGCGAGCAATTGCGGGCCGATAAAGGGGAGCACGAGGTTACGCAGCTCGAGGTACCAAAAATAGACAATTGGGTATGTGGACCCAAAATTTGAATCACCCTAATTTTCACATTTGCTGACCTTGAAATTAGTCTAGAAAGGTGCAAGATGCGGCACGGCTGCTAAAACAATACTGTACTGCGATGGATATGCAGGAAGCTCGAGGTCGCTGATGGGCCCACTTGAGGGCGCATCGAGTTCGATGCTGAGCCCCTACCACCGTCTGAGGATGTTGGAATATGCAATCAGACAGTGTCAAGTCCCAGCCCGAAGAGACGATGACCGGGGCGCCTGTATGGTGTAACGGTCTAACGAGCTATGTTCTACAGGTATGTTGTGAGTTCAATCCCCGCGGCGCCCTACCTTTTCCAACAGAGGACGAATTGGTGTGGAAAAATCTGAACATTTCTGCCACGATCTGCATTTTTTTATATTCAGAGGCGTTGGCACCATCCTTGGTCTCGCTGAGCTGTGAGATCTGAGCAAGGTCGACCTGCATAATGCCTCACTGTTATCTAGCGCCACCTTTATTGTCCTCCGAAAGCTATCAGTATTATATATTCCTTCAGATTCTTTGATCTACGAATTGGAGGCCAGCAGTGTTTCAGAATCTTGTAGCAAGTACTTGTAAATAAATGTCCCCGATCTGTACAGTAAGGCTATACATTGCTGCACATCGATGTACTCCTGCTGGAACATACCCGGGTTAAACTAAGGAAAGCATGTGAAGCATGTAAGGATCTTTCATTTTGAACCGAGGTGCATTTTTGGACTGCTCGAGTTCCAGCTCGACTTGTAGCAATGGCTGAAAATGGAAATTCGATGCGATCTACATGCAAACCAAGCTTGCAATCATATACGGGTCAGCATACTCACTTTACTGAGGAAATAACGATAAGGTGGTTCTTCACGACCTACTTGTTTACGCAGCAACTAATGCCTTGTCATTAATCTAACAAATAATATTTATGGGATAACAAGGGTGCGTTGCGTTAGGCTGTGAGGACTACTTTAAATTTAAAAAAGTCCAGCTACAAGTGCCAGGAAACCATCATGCAACTCTAAGAACGCATGCATCCATCTCTGGGACTTGGTGAGGCGTCGATTTCGTTGCTACCTATTCTGGTGACAGCTCCAGGCATGCTGGAGTATCATACGCCAGAAAGCGAGTAGACCAAACTATCATGGACCCACAAAAAACTTTACAAATTGAAACTTACAACACCCAACGCAGTTATATTAGATGAAGACGCTGGAGACAACTGAGACACGTGTTCATGGTGGATGCAACACCAACAGATTCATCGAAAGCACGGAATGAACATGACTAACAGTTAGAAGACATTAACTGAACAATTTTTACGTTACTTCACTATACTGTACATCTACTGTACGTTGGCCCAGCGATGGCGCGTGTGCGTAGGCGCTGCCGACGTGTTCGCCGAATGACGGCGCTCACAGCTAAAGTTTGTTGAGCCGAGGTTCCAGCTTAAAGCGTTGCGTGCACTCGGAAGATTCCGCGCTACGTAGTTTTGCCACGGGTTTTTGATTTTTCCAGATCCAGTATTGTGGCCTGGGAGTATCGGTCACTTGGCAGTATTATCATTCTCGCAAGAGATCGGATGAATCGCCGTTGGAGTACCTCTATCGACTGAATGTGGCGGCTCTACGTGCAAGATTGAAGATCAAGGACGGGGATTCCAAGGCCCGCCGAGAACATGTCGAACACTTTATCGAGACACTGGGCGATCCGGAACTGGCCGATCAGCTCACCCTACTCCGGCTTGCCGACGCGGAAGATCTGGAGGAAGTCCTGCGCGCTCGAGAGCGCGCGAAGCGTAGACAGAAGCGATCCGCCTTTGGATCGAAGTATCGTCAGAAAGTTCCGATCTCAGCACCAGCTGCTGCAACCAAGCGGGCAGTGCGTGCAGTGCAGATCGCGAGCCAGGGGTCTGGATCGGACACGGGATCAGACGGATCGGACTCGGAGGGTGATCTACGTCGCGTTTACCTAGCGTCGGCCGAGGACAAGTCCCGCAACGCTGGGGGCGACGCGACGAAGCCGGATCGAAGCAACCAGGCGCAGATCAACCATGACCCACCTCGATCGGATCCACGATCGCGATCTTCACCTGGCGGATCGGAGCGATCAAACCGCTGCTCACATTGTGGATCGCGGAAACACACCGATCGCGATTGTTGGAGACGTTTGACGTGCGAGAAGTGTGGCAAGAGAGGTCATCCGGCGGATTGCTGCCTGTTTGTGTAGTCACTTGTTACTCTAACAGATGCGATGTCTGTTCGAGGTTTGAACACTTCCTCGACCTTGGTGTAAGGTACACCAATAGCTACATACATTTACGACCATCACGACGGGTGGTCCATAGAGACTTAGGATTCCTATTGGCTGAGAGCAGCACTTTTAGCCAATGAGCGACATGCATAGCATTGGAATTCTGCCAACCAGCCGTTGGCAGATTCCAATCTTAGAATATTACATTTAGATGAAGTCAGAAACATAAAACAAAAATAGCAGTTCTCATTTTAACCCAAAAGCATTATTTGGATCGTTTATTTAGATTAATCTATACTCGGAGGCCCGAGTATAATTAACTCTAATTTAAACTAAGCTACGCTTCCTCACATACACGCGCACACGTGTAAGCTAAAGTAGTGAGTCAAAGTAGGCCCATAACAGTTATTGAGAGCGAATTCGACCAGGGGCAGGAAGGTGCTCCAAGACTTGAACAACGTAGCGAAGCTACGTAGTACATCTTCAACGACACGGTTGGCTCGCTCAGTTTGGCCGTCCGTCTCCGGGTGCGACGCGGTGGACATGCTTAGCCGCGTCCCCAACAAATGGAAAAGCTCGCGCCAGAAGGCGGACGTGAAGCACGGGTCGCGATCCGATACGATGGAAGACGGGAGCCCGTGGTGGCGATTCACCATGTCGACGAAGATGACGGCAGTCTGTTTCGCCGTGATGTTAGCGGAGACAGGAGCAAGATGGAGCATTTTGCTGAAACGGTCGACGAAGGCAAGCACACCAGTGCACGCTTGAGTGTCTCGGGGCAGCCCGAAGACGAAGTCCATGCTGACAGACGTCCATACGTCCGTGGCGACTGGAAGAGGTCGAAGCGGAGCCTGCTTGGACGGATTCGGCTTCACGTGTGGTGTAACGAGATCGGCCAAAATCTGGTTAAGGCCTGATCAAGCTTCCCACCAGCGCCCAGACACCGACAAACGGAGGGGGTCCCCCAAGACCCAACGATCCGCGATCGGCTGAACTTGTTCTCACCTTGTGTACCCATCGGCGGGCTGGATCTGCTCTCTCGGGGCTCCGGAGATGCAGCACTTGGTGAAGATCAAGTGTCTTGGCGTGACGCGGGGATAGTTTGTGGAGCAGCGCGGGAATCTTCGCTCTGCGTCCGAATGTTCGCTCCGATCGAGGGTTCTTCGCTGCGATCGGTCGGCCTGGAGCTGAGCCAAGGCCTGTAGTTGCCTTTCCGGTTGTGTTCCTTCCTTTCCTGAGTTGCTTGCCGCTTCCTATAGCGGCATCGAGGTTGATCGAGAGGAGAAACGATCGCCGGTTAGGCCGTATCCGGTCGATTGAGGACTCTCGACGCCCATGAACCTTGGCGCAACTGTTAGATCGACGTTCCCTCTCTGCATCCGTACAACACTCTGTTCGCACCCTGCAACCATGGAGCCCAACCAGGTTTACCTTGGTCACAGGTCGTCCACCGTGTAACAGGGTTACACGCACAAGTGGCTACAGTCACTTGTTACTCTAACAGATGCGATGTCTGTTCGAGGTTTGAACACTTCCTCGACCTTGGTGTAAGGTACACCAATGGCTACATGCATTTACGACCACCACGACGGGTGGTCCATAGAGACTTAGGATTCCTATTGGCTGAGAGCAGCACTTTTAGCCAATGAGCGACATGCATAGCATTGGAATTCTGCCAACCAGCCGTTGGCAGATTCCAATCTTAGAATATTACATTTAGATGAAGTCAGAAACATAAAACAAAAATAGCAGTTCTCATTTTAACCCAAAAGCATTATTTGGATCGTTTATTTAGATTAATCTATACTCGGAGGCCCGAGTATAATTAACTCTAATTTAAACTAAGCTACGCTTCCTCACATACACGCGCACACGTGTAAGCTAAAGTAGTGAGCCAAAGTAGGCCCACTACACCTGGTAGCACTTTGTAGTCCGTCCAACGACCGACTATCTGAGTTCGTACGTCATCGCACGAACGCGGAGCTGAGAACCTTCCCATGGATACAGAGGTGCCCATGGAAAGCTCCACTACGCCTGCAACTCACGTTGCACGCGCTGACTGTCCCCACCTGTCGGACCCAGAGTGGGAAGCTGTCAACAGTCATTGGTGAGGCGGCTGTAGCTACGATGCTGCGTACGCTAACGCCGACGGAGCAACACGGTGTTGCTCTGGGTTTCATCCTGAAGGAGCAACGCGATGTTGCTGCTACTACCGCGGTGTCGTCCGGGACGACACCACGCGCGCAATCGCTGAAGCTCAATGTGAGCAGTTACGCTGGAAGAGAGGGCGAGCCTGTCCTCCGTTGGCTTGTCGAACTCGACACTGCCATTGCGGCTCGACGCATCGTCGACCCGTTGTCGAAGGTCGCGTTCGCCATGTCATGTTTGGCGTCGAGGTATTGAAGTCGCATCGACTCCGGGAGTCGATAGCTTGGACGAATTTGATTCGTCGGCTCGGGGAGCCGACGCACCCTCCATAATGGAGGGCTCCGCCAATAACAGGCGTCGAGGTGAAGATGGCGTGTCGGCTCCGGGAGCCGACACTGCAGGCGGTGCGAACGGTTGCAAACGTCCCGCACCGGAAAAACTCGCATGCTGTCGTGCAGCCGGGCTGCACGACGAAGCGCCGGGCGACCAAGCCGGGCTTGAAGTCGCTTGCCCGC